GAGGCTGTTGCCTGCTTCTCTGCTTAATCTGGGAAGGAGAAAGAAGGCAAATTTGGCTCTCAGAGGAGAGCCATTCAGCTAGTCCTGTTCTTTAACACATGGTCAAGACCTAGATAAGGCAGCTTTTCCCATGTGTGCCTTTATTTAGTGGCATTCGGGATCTGGTGCCAGGTGTTGAAGGAGATGCAGGCAGTGCAAATGCATGAGAGAAAACCAGGCTGCATTTGTCATGCAGAGGAGGTTGAGACTCCTGCCCAGGAGCCCCATGAAAGGCAAGGGTATTAAATCCTGCCTACAGACAGCTGCCAGGGTCTTTTCTTGAGCATACCTGTTTCTCCTAGAGTCATAATAATTGGGTGTTGTCAATCCTGATCCTGAACTGAGGGACACAACACTGTCTCCCAGAGCATGCTGATGAAAACGATGAATGGCTAGCTCATTTTCCCCCTCATGCAGGTCATGGGCAGTTGCATACATTTGGTAAGGCCAGTTTTGTGCTCAATATCCCTGCCATCACGTTCAGGAATTCCTGGGAGGCTGCCACTGCGGAGCAGGAACCACTGCACTGTGTCCATCCCTTTACTATGCTCCTTCTAAGTTCTCTATGTCCTTTCTGAAGGAGTTTTAGATTTGAGATGTCACAAGGACTCCAGATGTAGCTGCAAGCCTTGTAATCTAGGGTATTTGCCCTGAGCACATCCTTCTGGAGAACTTGGCATTGGGATTTCATGAAGAGATGGGGAGGAGAGTAGGAAGGAGGAGAGAAAAATTTATATTTTTTAAAAAAATATAAATCATCCTTGTGCATTGAATGCTTTTTGCAGCCAGGTTACCAGGGACATTCTGTGCAGAAAGCTATGCTTCAACTCATTTTCATCTTATGTTGTAACTCCCCTCCTTGGCATTAGTATCAGTAAGCTTGTAATCGAAGACATGGCAGCTGTACCACTGGGCCAACAAGGTCACTTTTAATTCACAGGTCTGTCTGTGGTTTGGTGTGGAAGAATTATAAAATCCTTGGGAAAGGTCTGTCTTGATGCAGCCAGGCACATGCCAGTAATAAGTATTGATATGGCATCTTTTCTAGAAAGATGTAGAAATTATTAGAAAGGAAGAACAGAAACATTTGCTGTCACTTTAACATAGCAAGGAAACACATAACTGATTTACTGTGTGTTGCTTATAATTACTCTCTTTCTTATCTACCAGTTATGGCAAGGAACAGGAGAACTCCAATGACAGTAACATTAACTGAATAAAATTTCAGTTACTTTAGTGTGATGGTTTGGACTTGGCTCCCTGCCAAATGCCCGAAAGCTAGGACAGCAGCCCCCTTCCCCCCTTCTTTCTTCCCTTAGGTTAAAGGAGAAAGAAACTATAAAAATTAAAGAACCCACAATCAAGCTGCTTATATAAAAATATATCTATATTTACGCAAATTACAGTTATATACAGTTAAGATGC